CTGGGTTCGGCTCAACGTGGGCGGCACCTACTTCGTGACCACCAGGCAGACCCTAGGCCGGGAACCCAAGTCCTTCCTCTGCCGCCTATGCTGCCAGGAGGACCCGGAGCTGGACTCGGACAAGGTGCGCCCCGCCCTCGGGCGCGCCCCCGGGCTGTGGGACCCCCCCCTCTAGGCTGGGTGTTCCGGTCTCTGGGACGCGTTTGCCTCCAGCAGGCCCTGCAAACCCGCTCTCGAGTCCACTTTTGCCCCCCGGGTTGGCACCTGCGGCCTCAGGAGGAGCTCCCCTCCCCATTCTCCCCATCTTCGGGCACACTCCGGCATTCCTCTGCACCCCGCCCTTTGCTCAGCAACTCCTTCCAGGCGCCGTCCACCTGCACCCACGGGAGCCCCCTGAGTACTCCGCTCACATTCGCTGCCCCTCCCGAGGACCCCCACCTTCTCATATCTGCACTAGTTTTTCCCCTGGCTCCCGTGTAGCCCCCGCTGCTGGTGCCAGATGCCTTCAGAACTGGGTCAGGGTGAACGACCACAGCTCTGTCACTTTCCCAGGACACCCTGTTTGATCCCTGTGCAAAGTGATAGTAAACTTGGGGCTTAACAACAGATAGCGTCCACCGCCGTCCACCGCTGAAGGCTGCAGGAGGTGCTCTTGGCGGTGTTACACGGCTTTCCTAAAATCCTGGTCCCAGAACTTGTATGCGGTAACAGCCGCCGTTTCCGTACATTTTTAGAAGTAAATGAATTCCTTGGAAAGATGCTTGCTTTTGCCATGCAAATCTGGCCGACCAGTTAGGACTCAGCAAAAGTATAGACTGAGGAATTCTGTTTGACAAGGTGGTTGAGGGGTGGCAAGACATGTCATTCATTTCCAGTTTGAACTGTAACTTTTGCAGGTTCGTCTTTGAGTCTCAGATGCATTGGCTGTAGCTACACCGCCTTCCATGCCATAGAGCCACTCCCGTGGTTAACAGAGTTAGACTTGGCATAAACACGGAACAGTTTCATCTGTTCTCCGATACCGAATTGATGGGAACCTAAGCCATCCTGACTAAAGGCTCCTGTTTACAGGGAGTTATTTTTATATACCCTAAATCTTCCTTATGGCCACACAAGCCAGTTTCTTGTTTCTTTTACTGTAAAGATGAGTAGGATTAAAGCTGCCCAGAGCCAAGTCCTGGCAGTACCACGCTTCCTCTGGGCACAGAATAGGGTGTGTGAGATTACAGCTGGCAATGCGGACTCCCACTGGTGTTGGCCTTGGGCTCAGGAGAGTTGCCAACAGAATGGAGGTTTTCTTAGAGTTAGGAATGTAGTCCAAGGGCAGTGAAGAAGCAAAATACTCAGCACACTCAGCTGTGGTCTTTCCTTCAGTCCTTCATTAGTAACTGGTATCCTGCAGGAGATGAAAGGCTGTTATGTCTGCCCAGCAGATAAAGGCCTAGCTACGGGGATGACTGTGCGCCTGTGACAGCTGACCTGAAATTATCTAAAGCCAGCCTTCTGGCCAGTAGCCTAACATAAGCAAACTGTAGCAAAACAGCCTCGCTTTAAAAAAACCAAACAAAGCTGGAGTTAAAGGATGGACCACCACGTCTGCGGCCATTTCTTAGCTCACAGAATGAATGTTGCCCGACTGTGCTGACAGAGTAGGAGGAAATGCGGTTTAGGAAGTATTCCAGACTGGTTCACAGTGCTTGATTATGCTTGGTTGACAGGATGAGACTGGAGCGTATCTGATTGACAGAGACCCCACCTACTTTGGTCCTATCCTAAACTACCTCCGACATGGAAAGCTCATCATCACCAAGGAGTTGGCAGAAGAAGGTAAGGAGACCTCACTGGGTGGCTGCAGACTTCCAGCCCCTTCGAGCTGCTTCGCAGACTTGAGTTTGTTTGGGGTCCTCACTGGACTGTGCAGGTGTAACACCATCGAGGAGTAAGCAGGACGCTTCCAGCTCCTGGGGCTTGTCCACCCAAGGCTTGTCCTCCCCAGGCTTGTCCTCCGAGCCTGGAGGAGGCCGCGCTGGGCTCTATTCAGCTGCCGTAGTGGGAACCACGTTTGCGGGTTGCTTTAGGCTTTTAAACCTGCAGAACTGATTTTATTCCCTGGCAGTGATCGCCCCGTAGCCCGAAGCACCACATCGCTGGCAGTCAGTTATTTTTATTTTCTCATTTTCCTTTGGATTTGCAAAAATAATATTAATAAAGGTCTGACCTCATTTCTTTAAGGCTCTGGTCTCATGCTTCCCTGTGAAGCTGTGCAGCTGACCTAATTCATTGTCAGCTGGGTCTCCAGCTGCCTTGTCGCCTGCTTTGTAGGGCATTCGGAGTGTAAGTGGGTCTAGTCCTCCATGTAAAGGCCTATCTGTTCTCTCTGGAGGCTTCCAGGGGAAATTTTGGGTCCTTTCCTAAATCCAGGACCCCGGATCTAAAAACCTCTGGATATGAAAGCTTGTAACAGCAAACTGCTTCATTAACAAGAATGGTGGTCAGTAACGAGAAGAATTTTGAATTCTTGTTTGTTCTCTTTCTTTCTCCCCCAAAAAACCTTTTAAGCCAGGCAGTGGTGACATACAACTTTAATCCCAGCACTCAGGAGGTAGAGGCAGGTGGATCTCTATGAGTTCGAGGCCAGCCTGGTAAACAGAGTGAGTTCCAGGACAGCCACAGCTACACAGAGAAAACCTGTCTCAAAATAAACTAAAAAAAAAAGAAGAAAAAAGTTATTTCAGATCCATACTTAAGTAATAGGAAATGTGTAATGATTCCATGTGCTGGTTATCCTATCAAACAACTACTGCTTCACAATTTTGTTTGTTTTTTGCTTTGTTTTGTTTTCGAGACAGAGTTTCTCTGTAGCTTTGGTGCACCATTACCACCTGGCTTACAATCTTTTATGTCTTTAATAAAAACTACTTTATGTTGAGCAAGCAAGGTGGCTCAGCAGCTGACAGCTCTTGTTGCCAAGCCTGATAACCTGAGTTCAATCCCTGGTACCCACATGGTGGAAGGAAAGAATCAGTTTACAGCGGATTGTCCTCCGACCTCCGTATTCATGCCCCTCCCACTCATACTTACAAACAGATGAGTATGATTTTGTTTGCTTTTGAGATAGTTTCAGTATGTAGTCCTGGCTGCCCTGGAACTCAGACATTCATCTGCCTCCCCTAGAACTAAAGGATACACCACCACACTTGACAAAAGTAAATAACTGTTAAAAAGTAATTTTAAAAGCAATTATAGGCAGGCAGTGGTGGGGCATCCCTTTAATCCCAGCACTCGGGAAGCAGAAACAGGTGGGTCTCTGGGAGTTCAAGGCTAGCCTGGTCTACAAAGTGAGTTCCAGGATAACCAGGGCTACACAGAGAAACCTTGTTTGGTGGGGGGGGGGGGGACAAACAACAACAACAACAAAAACACTATGTTTTAAAATAGTTTTGGACTTAAAGAAAAAAGCATGAATAATAGGAAGTTCGCTTTACCAAGATTCACCAGTTTGGGACTTTTTTTTTATTATTATGTTTTCTTTTATCACTGAATTTTGTTTCCTCCTTTCAGTCATCCCTACTTCCTTTCTCTCCTCCCTTATTCTCCTGAGAGTTCTTTAAAATGTTTGGGAATAGATTGCAGATTTCATCCCATAATAATCCCTGTATTACTCTGAAAACAGGAACCTGGTGTAACTCTGCTTAACATCTTGGGAAATTTAATATTGATCTGTATCTTCTTTCCGGTTTATCAGTTGTTGTGATAATGGTCATTAGAATATTTTTTCCTAGTGCAGGATTATACATCCCATAATTGTTCTGAGATGATTGACTTTGATTACCATGAGAAGAGACATTGATTGCTCTCTCTCTCTCTCTCTCTCTCACACACACACACACACACACACACTGAGGATCAAACCTTGCTGAGCAAGCATTCTGCCACTGCCTAGCCCTGATGTTCTTTTAATTTTGCTCAGATCATAATAATTATCCTGTTAAACCAGGCGTGGTGGCTCATGCCTTTAATCCTAGCAAGTGCATCTCTATGAGTTCAAGGCCAGCCTGGTCCACAGAGTGAGTTCCAGGACAGCCAAAACTACACAGAGAAACCCTATCTCGGGGAAAAAAAAATAGTCTCTTAAATTCTTTTTTTTAATATTTATTCATTTATTATGTATACAGTATTCTATCTGTGTGTATATGCCTGCAGGCCAGAAAAGGGCACCAGATCTCATTACAGATGGTTGCGAACCACCATGTGGTTGCTGGGAATTGAACTAGGACCTTTGGAAGAGCAGGCAATGCTCTTAACCGCTAAGCCATCTCTCCAGCCCTGCCTCTTAAATTCTTAAGTTTCTATAAATGCACCTACCCACCAGCCCTTTTTAGGGAAAACAGATAAACACTGCAAGGTCAGGTGTTACCCAGTGTGACAGGTTACAGGAACTGGGTGAGCAGGTGCCAGGAGGAAGCAGGAGGGATAAGATGGGAGGCAAAGAAAATTCTTGTGTTTTATTTAGTTTATGGTCATGCCCTATATGGCAGAACCAAATACCTTAAATTTCCTAGAATAAAAGGGAGATGAGATTTGTGTTTGAAAAATGCAATTCTTTTTTTGTTGGTCAGGGAAAGTGTGTCTCAAGACAGGGTTTCTCTGTGTAGCCCTGGCTGTCCTGGGACTCAACAGAGATCTGCCTGCCTCCACTTCCCGAGTGGTGCACCACCAGCAGCAGCAAAATGTAGTTCTCTGCAGTCTTTTCTTGCTGTTTTCCCAGTGAGCTCACACGTCTGACTTCAGTCTGCTCCTTGTTCCAGGTGTGCTGGAAGAAGCAGAGTTTTACAATATCGCGTCTCTCGTGCGGCTGGTTAAGGAAAGGATACGAGACAATGAGAACAGAACTTCACAAGTAAGGTGTCTGGAACTGCTAGGGGCACAGCCTCTCCAGTGGTCGGTCTGTCTCTCTCTCTCTCTCTCTCTGTGTGTGTGTGTGTGTGTGTGTGTGTGTGTGTGCGTGTGCGTGTGTGTGTGTGTGTGTGTGTGCGTGCTATGAAAACGGTGCCCTTCTCCTCAGCTGGAGGGCCAGAATGGCTCAAAGTGAGGAAGTTGAGGAGAAATAGCAGAGATAACAGAACAGCCCCACCCCTTAGGATAGAGAGTTACTGTTCACCAGGTGGTGGTGGGACAACCCCAGGCCAGTCTAGACCCACTGCTTGTTCTCAGGTTGTAGCCCAGCCTGGTCTCCTTCCCTAGTGCTGGGATTCCCAGGTCCAGCAGAGCCTGTTTGCTGATGGAGCATCTGCCTCCCTCAGTATGAAAGCCCAGTCTCACTTGCTCCTCATCTTTAAGCTGTGATCACCTCACATCAGGTTTTGCAGGCTGCTTGCAAAAAATGTGTGAATTGTGCAGCTGAGAAGATGTCCAACCTCTTTTTTAAAATCACACTATCTGGATTTTTATATTACCTCAGTAGATGTGATAACAGAAATGCCTCCTGTTGAGGGAGGCAGGTGATAGAGCAGACTTAGCCTGCTTCCCATGTCATTCATCACATGAGTGGGCAGCGACTGTCATGTGTGAAGCCCTTGCAGTTGATTCTGTAACAGGAGAAGGTCCTTGTGGAGCCCGGCAGAAGAGAATAGACTCCCTTTCCTGTGTGTAAGAAATGGCAACTCCAGATTTGAGCACCATGCATGTTGTGCTCCCCCGTGGCCACCTGTCAGAACGGCACAGATGCTCCTTACCCCACCTGATCCCAGTGGTGACTCTTTTTCCTTCATCTGTCACAGCCTTGGCTGTTAACACTAAAGAAAAGGCAGTCAGAACGGCTGAGCCGCTTTCCTCCAGGTGTCTGCAGAGCTAGATTTATTCTGGCCCATGCTTAGAAGGCTTCTTATTGATGTTCACAGGTAGATTTATACTTGAAACAGGACCCTGTGTTCTCTAGTCTCTGCTGTCTTACATTTCCAGGAATATTTTTGCTTTGTAGATATTTAATAAATGACTTAGATATTTCTGAAGTCTAGCTTTATCCCCAGTTTTCCACATTCTAAAATAAACTTGATTGCTTAGTAGAAATGTTGATGGTACCCTGAATTGCATAACCTGGAGCCATCCAGATCACAGAACCTGAATGTTCTGCACTTGTTGCCATTGGTCGATTCCTTGAGAACACCCGAAGATTTCCATTTGATGGCAGCAATTAACTTAATTAGTCCTCTAGATTCTGAAGGCTTAGGACTCATACCCAGTTGGAAGCTTTTTTATTCCAGAAATGTCAAGACCTTTTGATGTTGATTGATCTTTCGTCTGTCCTTTTCATGGAGTGAACTCCGAGAGAGGAGTTGGTATTCAGAGGCTCCATCTTCCTGTGTCCTCATGCTTCTAAGGTGCTCTTGGCTGTGTAGATGTCCAGACATACCCTCTTCAGCGTGCGCACTGTCAGTTGTACATGGCAGGCATTCAGGCAGCGCCGAAGATGTGGGGGCCCTAAACTGACACCCTCCGCGGGTCTCTTCTGTCCCGTGTGTATGTGGTAATTAGCCCTGGAAAGCTGACTCTGAAAGAGAAAAAGAGGTTAATGGCAATTTAGATACTAGGGACTTTGGCTACTCTGGCCAATATCACAGATCTTTTGGGATGCTCTGAATTTTGTAATATAAACCTAATTGTTTCTAAAATGTGTGGGTAGATTTATGAGAGAACCAAAGGGAATGGTCAGGGGACTTTGTCTGTGTTTTCAGAGAAGGGCGTGTCCCCTTTTAAGGCTGTGTAGTGGTTCTTCTCCTGTCAGTCATTTGTCTTTGTCTGTTTGTTGTTTGGAGACAGGGTTTCTCTTTTTAGCCCCGGCTGTCCTAGACTCGCTCTATAGACCAGACTGGCCTCAAACTCAGAGGTCCCTGCCTCTGCTTCCTGAGTGCTGGGATTAAAAGGCGTGCACCAGCATCACCAGGCTTATCTTTTAAGGTGCCTGTCGTAGAGCCCAGGACCTCACAAATACTATACAGTGACTCTGCTGCTGAGCCGCACTCTCCGTCCCAAAAGACACTTTTGTGTTTCTCAGTGTTTCGGCATACAGCCTCTTTGTGCAGTCCCAGCTGGCCTGGACTCAGTTCTCCAGCTTTAGCCTTCTGAGTGCTCGGATGACAAATGTGCCCCAGGCCTACCACAGCTACTCGGGAAATCCTGAGTGGTCGGGAAGCTCTGCCAGGAATGCAGACAAATAAGTAAATGTTTCTTTTCTGTTGTCCCACACCTCTGTAACCAGAGTGCACTGCTAAACATTGCCAGCTTCCTGGTAGCATCAGCAAAGGAGAACCTAATGAGCATTTGTACAGTATGTATTTTCTCCTTGATATGATCATACATTAATATGCAGTTTCCAGTGTCAGGTAGCATGCTGTAATCCCAGCACATGGGAAACTGAGGCAGGGGCAAAATCAGAAGTCTGAGACCAGGTTGGGATAAATAGTGTGTTCAGGACATCTTGAACAAATTCGTGAGGCATGGTGGTGCGTGCCATTATCACAGCACTTGGGAGGCAGAGGAAGATGGGTCTGAGTTCAAGGCCAGTCTGCTCTGCTCTATGTAATGGGCAGGACAGGACAAGACAGGACACGTAGGAGAAAAGGGTGAGGCTGAGCAGATGGCTCAGTGGTTAGAGTGCTGCTGGCAGAGGACTGAAGTCAGTTCCCAGCACCTGTGTGAGTGGCTCACAACCACCTGTAACTTCAGCCCCAAGGGATCCCACATCTTCCTTCGGCTTCCATGGGCATCCAGAAACACATGGTATACATATACATACATAAATAAATTTTATCTTTTAATTTCAAAAAGGTCATTCCCATAATCATTTATATCCAGTACAAAACACCAAAATATGGTGTGCATTTTAGCATCCAAATCACATAGAAAACACTTAGAGGAGCTGGAGAGATGGCTCAGCAGTTAAGAGCACTGGCTGCTCTTCCAAAGGACCCGGGTTCAATTCCCAGCACCCACATGGCAGCTCACAACTGTCTGTGGTTCCCGTTACAGGGGATCCGACATCCTCATACAGAATATATAGGCAAAAGACAAGTGTACATTAAATAAATAAATCTTTAAAAAGAAAAGAAAAGAAAAGAAAACACTTAGAAACAACGTGACTTTCCTGCTCAGAGTGCCTGGGGGGTACTTGCTCTTAAGTGTGTCAACACAGCTGTACACACAAACTGTCCCTCCGGAGTTCATGCATCGATTCATGACCTTGGGGCTTGCTTTCTGTTCTTTTTTTTTTTTAAGATTTTTATTTATTTATTATGTATACAATACAGTGTTCTGCCTCCATGTATGCCTGCACGTCAGAAGAGGGCACCAGATCTCATTGTAGATGGTTGTGAGCCACCATGTGGTTGCTGGGAATTGAACTCAGGACCTCTGGAAGAGCAGTCAGCATCCTTAACCTCTGAGCCATCTCTCCAGCCCGCTTGCTTTCTGTTCTTATAGGTGATGAGTTCTCACTGAGCCTACAGTGTTTGGAGGGAGAGGTAGTGGGTGGTCTGAGGCAGCTGCGGGTGGTGGGGTCCTGGCTGGGTCCCTGTGTTGCTGTCCTAGCCTGCCTGTTGTTGCAGGGCCCCGTGAAGCACGTGTACAGGGTCCTGCAGTGTCAAGAGGAAGAGCTCACTCAGATGGTCTCCACCATGTCTGACGGCTGGAAATTTGAACAGGTATATTTCTCAAAGAGCAGCGGCCCCAGCCCTCCTCCCAGGGAGCCATAACCAGTCAGTAGCCCTGAGAATGGGAGTGGGAGTGGGTTAGGCGGACAGCCCCATTTCAGGATTAGGAAAGAGCTCCTTGGTGTATGGCAGCAGCATGTGGTGGTTATGAGGGGCCGGGAGGAGGGTCATGTTTCTGGTTTCACATCCAGAGTCTGATCTGACAGCACCTGGGGTCATGGAGTACAAACCCCAAGCACCTTTGCCTTCCTTTCCTTGAGCATTCCCTTCTGCAGTGCTCTGCTGACTTCATTCCATGAGCCTTAAAGAGGGCTGACTTCAACAGGAGCTTACAGTTCTGGGTGTGTGGCCCTCAGGTGTGCTAGGAGGGGACCAGACACAGGCACGCGCCAGGGTCATTTCCCATTTCTTTGGCTTTGTGCTTAGAATAGAGGTTATGAAAACAAAGTCCCTGGGACCTGAATTTTACCATTTTCTTCCATTAGATGGCAGCCTGGCTCATTTTCTGTTGCCTCAGCTCTCCAGGAAGCTGAGCTCGTCCACAGGGAATGGGATTTTGTGTGGAGTGACTGTTTCTGTGGAGCTGAGGCCAGCTGAACTGTCCAGAAGCTCCCGTACAGAACAAAGGCTGCAGCTTGTCTAAGCACTGTGGGCTCATAGTTGGAGGCAGAACCAGCCCTGTCACATGGGTCCCAGGGCCTATGGTCACAGCTTTTTCTCTGACAAATAGTCTATTCTCTGCGAAGGCAGTGGATGATTTTTAAATGTTATCTGTGTCTGAACCATGGCCTCACACGGTCTAGGCTGGTGCCCTCTAGTCCTCATATGGAATCTTGCTAATGTCCTGGAGGAGAGGGACGTCTGTTCTTACTGCCTCCAAGGTGTGGGTGAGGAAGGGGACGTTGGCGCCCAGTCTTGCCCCAGCTTCAGGCCTTGCACTTATGAGGCCACATTTGCTCTCTGCCAAGTTTCTCCATGTGCAGATTTCCAATTTAGAGTTAAATGCTAAATTTGTTTCCCCAAAAGGGTTAAATGTACCATAGCATGTAGCTTTGGTGGCTGCAGAGTCTGGTCTGGAGAAACAGCCAGTGGGAGCAGGCAGGGCTGATGGGAATGCTGGCAGAAATACTCCTCATGCTGACACGAAGTGACCGTGTTGATGCTCCTAGTGCCTCTGGAACACTGAGGACAGGATGGAACTCAGACTTTTCTTCTCCGTTGGGATTCCTGAATTAGGATCCACCTACTCCCCTAGACCATGGTTGCCCCCTTTGAAGCATAAAACTACACAGTCCAGTTGAGTAGGGTGGAACTCGTGTGGCACTGGAGTGCATTTTTCTTTGGTTTGATTGTGGGTTTTTTTGTTTTGTTTTGTTTTACTTTTGAGATAAGGTCTTACAAAATAACCCTGGGTTCCCTGAAACTGTGTAGATTAGGCTAGCCTTGAACTCAAGAGAAATCCGCTTAACTCTGCATTCCAAGTGCTGGGATTAAAAATGTTCACACCTATCCGGGAACTTGAGTGTTTTAATTAAGCCCCTGCTTATATGGGTGTACAGTCACCGCCCTCCTGTTTTGCCAGCTGATCAGCATTGGCTCCTCCTATAACTATGGAAATGAAGATCAGGCAGAATTCCTCTGTGTTGTCTCCAGAGAACTAAATAATTCTACCAATGGCATCGTCATAGAGCCAAGCGAAAAGGCCAAGGTAAGACATGGCTTCCCCAGGCTGTCCTGTGCCTCTCCATCTTTGCCTAAGCTGCCATTGGGTCATTCCACTCCTCCAACTACGAGTTTTCTCCCATGCTCTCTTGGATGCTGGATTTAAATCAGGATTTGTAGGGCCTTGGGAGGTAGTGAGCATAGCCAAATCAGTGAGCTCCAGCGTCAGTGAGAGACCTTGTCTCCAAATGGGCTGGAGAGTGATAGAGCAAGATGCCCACATGGGCCTCTGGCTTCCACACCAACACGTACACACACACACACACACACACACACACACACACACACATTTGTGCCACACCAACATGCATGCCCACAGACACATGTTTATGCCAATGCACATGCAATCAATCAGGATTCATGATCAGTGATGGGAACTGTGCTGGACAAGGACAGTTTTTGCATCCTGTCAATATGATAGAGAAGCTGGGTTTTGCACTAATGGCACTTCTCAGTGTTGCTAGCCTCAGTCAGGTAGTGTCTGCCTTGCTCCTTAACAAACCGTTATTCCCTTCTCTTCCCCCACTGTGCCTCACAAACACACATTACACACTATGGAGAACCTGACTATGTGACTGTGAACTGCTTTCTTTAACTTAGAAGACTTTGTTTCAACAGCACAGTGCCTTCTGTCCACGACAACCTTGCCTGTATTTGGCAAGACAGCCCTTTGCATTCAGGCACTCAGTGAGGTTGAGGCTCCAAGCCGTGGCTGCATGGGCTGGTAGCAGATTGTGAGCTGCCCACAGGGCCAGAGGAAGCAGCTGCAGGATTTTGAAATCTTAAAATCGTTATTATGATGTCTAGCTTACTTCGCTGACATCAGCTGTATCCTGAGTTTCAATCCCCACACACTCCATGCTGATGCTGGAGAACCAGCCTGGCCCTAGGGGCTTCCCTTCCCTCACCAGTTGCTCAGCCGTCTTCTGCCATCTTGCACTTTTAGATTCTTCAGGAGAGAGGCTCTCGGATGTAAACAGAGAATCTGAAGTTCCAGAACCCTGAAGGCAAGAGAGCAATCGGCCGAGCAGCTCTGAAGGGAAATCTTGCACCTGTACAGTAACTGAGCTACTGCAAAGTGAAGCTGTGCCTGGTCCCGGAGAAGAGGTGTCTGCTCAAACCAGAGGAGCCCCGCCCGCCTCGGACGAAGACAGTGCGCCTCTGGCCACACGGCCCCTTTTGAGAAACCTGCTTTTGTTTCCTAGCCTGTGTTGTGACAGACCTCCACAGCAGCATCTGGGATGGGTCCCTGGCTGGAGCCTTGTGGGGAACTGGGGAAAGGAGGAGGGTCTAGGTCCTGTAAACCATCTAGACACCAAGGAAGCTAGAGCAGAGGAAGGAGGCTGGTCCTGACCTGTGCCCTGGTCTCAACCTGCCTGTGCTGTGATGGACACTGGCAGCTGCCGTGACCATTCTTCCTTGACCTAGGCATTCTTCGAGGTTGGCAGAGGTGCAGAAGATTAGCGCATTGAATCGAGGTTTTGGGTACAGAATAGAGTTGCCGGAGGACCCACAATCCTATGAACAGAGCCTCAGGCAGGAGGATGAGGTGTCCTGTGCTGTGCTTGGAGGGCAGTGGTAGCTGTTCCTGGTTCTGAGCACTGCCCTGTCCCCACGAGTGGCTTCACCTGGTGTCTGTCCCTTCGTGGGGCCCCACGTGGCCCAACCTCACGCAGGAAGTTAAAGGCTGCGGCATCCTAAGCAGTGCTGGGCAGATGATGGTACTAAGCAGTTGCTGCAATTGCCTCTGCAGCCTTGTCTTACCTGGTTGGCCCCGTCTTCCTCCCCCAGCTTCTTGAACTGAACCAAAGAGAAAGGACTTTGTGGACCCTCTGTATGGCTTGGGGTGAGGAAGGCTGTTTCTGTGGAAGCTGCCAAATGAGTCATATTGTCATAGTAAAAGTGGTGGTGTTTTGTGATTGTCTCTTGAACATGCACTGACTGATATAGGTGATGCTGTGTCTCTCCTTGATTTCTAACCATGGCAAAGCAGCCCTGTGGCATCATCCCCAGCCGTGTGTGTGTGTGTGTGTGTGTGTACATGTAAGGTGACAATCCATGTACTCCTTGCATCTCCGACCACACACACACACACACACACAGAGATACACACACACTTCTGGGCATGCAGTGTTGTCAAGCAAGGACATAGTTCTGCTTGTCTGAGCTTTGGAATCTAAGCGTTCATGGAAGACAAGGGTCTCCTTGGTCTTTCCTAGATAACTCTGAACTGTGACATGTACAAAACAGGGAATGCTGCCTCAGGATTTACCCAGGCCCAGCAGTCATGGGCGCTTTCAGCACCAAGACTCTCTGCATTCACAAAGTACGGTGGCCCATGCCTTTCATCCAAGCATCCACCAGAGGCAGGTGGCTCTGTCAGTTCCCGGCTGTGGACTTTCTCAAAGATCTCCACATCCTATAGCACAGCTGCTTACCAGGGTGTGAGGGTGGTGACTTCTAGGAGGGTGGCATTCTGTGTTCATGTCACTAAATAAATAAAGTCCTGCTTGGATTATTTTAAAAATTGTTAACATTGGGGACTATCAGATTGCACATAGTAAGGCTGAGTAGAGCTTGCTACTTTTTTTTTTTTTTGGAAGTGTTATTTATGGGGGAATCACTCATGCCATGGAACCCATGTGAGGTCATAGGACCCTACAGGAATCAGCTCTCTGTTTCCACCAATAAGGTTCTGAGAATCAAACCCAGGTCATCAGGCTTGGCTACAAGGCCTTCACACTCTGAGCCGCCTCAGTAGCCCACAAGTAGAGCTTTTCTTTCTTTCTTTTTTAAACAATTCCTTAGTTTACTTTTTTCCTTTTTTTGTTTGTTTTGTTTTGTTTTTGAAGACAGTTTCTCTGTGCAACAGCCCACCTGTGGCAGGTCCAGGTCCTTCCTTCTGGGCTGAGCTGCATCCAGCAGGGTGAGGGGAGGAGAGGGCACTGGGTTACACAGAAGCTGGCTCAGTCGTGGCACATGAACATCGCCAAATCTGTTATTAAAGGACCGGGGACCAGTGGGTGTGATTCACATTTCTCTGACAGTGACCTGGGCCGTGTCAGGTGCTCCGGACCCAGCTGCTGTCCTCCCTCTCAGCATCTCAGGCAAGAAGGGGTTGCGGTCCTCAGCCCTGCACCAGGCTGATCACACAGACTGGTGCCGCCAGGGGAGACGCCTTGGCAGTGTGGGCGAACTTCCCTGAGACAGAACCCTGAGGGGACGGGTTTAGAAGGCTCTCGTGGCAACAGGAGTCTGAGAGGTGGTGAGGAACAGAAAACAAACAGTAAACTAAGTGGAAGCAGGCAGATCCAAAGAGATGTGACATTTTGCTGGGGACATGGCCAGCTCCCAGCGGGAAAGACAGACCATCTTGCTTCTCAGCAGAGCCTTGTGAGGCATGCAGCGTGGGCATTTAAACAGGCAGTGGTGGAATAGAGAAAACCCCAGTGGCAAGATAGATACTGAGGTACTGATAGTCAAGGTCCAGACTATTCTGATCAGCTGTCATGAGCTGATTGGTCAGCTGCAGCTACAGAAAGGTCACTATACCTGGAGGCCATGGGGAGGGGGTCGTTACTACATTCCACCATTATTAGTAAAGCATGTCCAGAGTCCGCCAGTTATCGCCTGATTGGCTCCTTACCACGTGGCAGATACCTGGCAGTTTCTTCTCAGTAATTAGGGCAAGGTTGGGCAACGTCAGGGGCTCAGCACATCCTATGGAGTCAGAGGCCTACATCTTGCTGGGTCTTTTCTGAAGTCTGTCATGACTGCCAAAGCAGCGGTAGGGAGGTGGGCAAGGGTCTGAGCCCTTCAAAACCTAGTTCCTCGCACACACTGGCTAAGTCCTTGTGCATACACTCCCATCTCCTTGAATCTTTTTGTTTTAAGACAGAGTTTCACCATGTATCCCAGGCTGTCCTGGAACTGCTAGACCATGCTGGCCTTGAACTCGGAGATCTGCCTGCAACCGCTTCCTGAGTGCTGGGATAAAAGGTTCCACGCTCTCCTGAATGTGTGTGTGTGTGTGTGTGTGTGTGTGTGTGTGTACTTGTGCATGTCTGTGTGTGAGGGGCAGGCAGTTGTGAGCTGCCTGATGTGGGGTCTGGGAACAAACCCAAGTCCTCTGAAGAGCAGTGTGCACTCTAAACCACAGGGCCATCTCTCTAGCCCCAGAATTTTTCTTAGCAACTGATATATACATAATTTTATGTGCATGGGAGTTTTGCCTGCCTGTATGTCTGTGCACCCTGTGTATGCCTGGTGCCCAAGGCAGACAGTAGGGGGGATCAGATCCACTGAAACTGGAGTTACATCCGGTTGTAAGGGTACAGAGAGCCCAACCAGGTCCTAGGAAAAAGTAACCGATGCTCTTAAGTGCAAAGCCATCTCTCCAGCCCCTGGTTTTGGCTTTGTTTGTTTCTTTCACTTAAAAAAAAATCTATAGTGGAGGCAGGAGAGATGACTCAGGAGTTAAGAGCATTGGTTGCTCTTGCACTGGACCTGTGTTTGATTCCCAGCACCCACACGGTGCCTCACAGCCATCTGTAATCCCAGCTCCAGGGAACCTCGTCCTCTTCTGACCTCTCCAGGCACGTGCTACACAAACATTCAGGCAGGCAAAACTCCCATACACATTTTTAAAAACGTTAAAGAAATCTATAGTTGTTGTTGACTTCTTTCCCTTTGTCAGGATTTCCCTTGTGGCCGAGGCTGGCTTGGAACCTGCGATCCTGTTTCTAGCCCCCTATTACAGAGTTTATTTTAAAATTTACTATATATATATATATGTGTGTGTGTGTGTGTGTGTGTGTGTGTGTGTATGTGTTTGCCGCGTGTATGTGGCATTCCTAGTGCCCTAAGAAGTCAGAAGAGGGAGTTGGATTCCCTGGAACTGGAATTATGGATGGCTGTGAGCCATGTGGGTGCTGGGAATCGAACCCAGGTTCTCTACAAGAACAAATGCTCCCAACTACAAAGTCATCTCTCCAGCCCCCTAAAGAGATTCAAAAAGTATAAGTAACAAACAAAAAGCTAAAGCTGGGACCAGACAGATGGCTCAGGAGTTAAGAGCACTTGCTGCTCTTCTGAAGACCAAGTTCAGTTCCCAGCACTCACATGGCAGCTCAGACTCACCCATAACTCCAGTCCCAGCGGATCTGATGCCATCTGCCCTCTCTAGACACCAAGCAAACACACACACACACACACACACACACACACACACACACACACGGCACACAGACATACATGCAAGCAAAATGTTTCAACACATAAAAATAAATGCAATCTTTTATTTTTAATGCCCTTGGAAAACAAAACAAAACCTGTAAGGCAGCCATGTCTGTCCACGTCTAGAGTGCCAGACACTGGAAACCGAGACAGGATGACTCTGCCAGGTAACACGGTGAAACGTACTCTGGGGTGGGGGTGAGGGCCAAGACTGGCTTACCCCTACCGCCGTCTACTTGGGAGGCTAAAGCAGAAGGATCGGGAATTGAGGCTATCATCAGATTTGCCATGAGTTCAAGGCCAGACTGGGCAACTTCACCCTTTCACAAAATGGAAACTAAAGAGAGTTCTGAGGAGATACCTCAGCTGATCAGGGCTTACCCAGCATGCACAGGGTCCCCGTTTCAAACCTCAACACCACGCTCTAACGGAACCTGGTTTGATGCCTGCTGAGGAATGCAGTAGTAAAATTTTGTATGTTTGTAATTAGAGCATTGTGTTTCCATAAGAGCAGAACAGCGTCATATGTACAGTCAAAACACTGTAGTTCACAACATGCAACAGCATCCAGTCTGCGTAGAGAGGTGTGAGGCAGTGTTTGTGGTTCTGTGGTGTGACGACAGACCTTGAGCAGATGCGTGTGAGTGAGTGTGTGTGTGTGTGTGTGTGTGCGCGCGCACGCGTGCGTACAGACCTCAGACTGCACGTGGTGTGTGCATGCAGCCGTCAGTGACGTTGCGGAAGGCAAGGCAGCTGCGCGCTGCCATGAGGTCCTGAGTGTAGTCTGCATCTTTGGCCGGTGGGAGTCTGGAAACTTTTCAAGGCCCAGCATGCCAGAAGCTGGGTTCCAATACATACCAGGCCCTGGCTTTGACACCCCAAAGAAAAGAACCCCATTTGTCTCACAAAAGATTTCTGCAAAGAATTTGCAGCAGACACCGTAATTAGGAGGAGATGCTGATGCTCCCCCTGAACCCCCATGATGAGGAAAGGCTGCCTTCTGTTCTCCGCTTCTGCGCAACAAGAGGAGTCAGGCTAGTGTTTGGAGGCAGATTAACAGACCAAACTTCTTAGAGGCTTTTTCCCATGGGGTTCAGAAAGACAGGAAATAAGACTCAAGAGAAACCACTAACCAGGGTGATGGCAGCCCTCTTCAGCTTCCGAATCCCCGATTTCTCCTTCAAAGGTTGGAAGCAAAGTAAAAGCAGACAGAATCTCCCATCAAAACGCTTGGGGCGGGTGGGGGAGCTGGAGAAATGGCTCAGTGGTTAAGAGCACTGACTGCTCTTCCAGAGGACCCACATGGCAGCTCACAACTGTCTGAAAATCCAGTTCCAGGGGACTTGACACCTTCACACCAATGCACATAAAATAAAGGATAAATGAATCATAAATTTTTTTTAAAAAAAGATAATGCTTAGGGCTAGCCTGGGGCTGTAACTCCGTTGTACAGCATTTGCCTAGCATGTAGAAGGCCCAGGTTTGATCCCCAGCATGGACAGGAGAGAGAGTAGAAAAGGGGGATGCTGGAGAAATGGCTCAGTGGTTAAGAGCATTTGCTGCTCTTGCAGAGGACCTGGGTTCAGTTCCCAACACACACACATACACACAGAGTGACAATCATCTGTAACTTCAGTTCCAGGGCCTCTGAGCTCAGGAACTACACGCATATGGTGCACATACACACATGCAGACAAAATACTCATTCCTAAAATCAAAACAAGTCTTTGAAGAAGAGGAAAGGAGGAAGAATACCTGTCACCTCATGAGAATCACACTCCAGAGAGGAGAAACAAGCTCCCAAGACGCTGCTGTGGCCCACTGATGTTTCCCTCTTTGGTCAGAAATACGGACAGACATTACATCAGCAGCAAGTGGTTCTAGCTGCCAGTAGCTATTCTGCCCCGGAGCTGAGGATCCATCCGCGGAGAAGCGAGATGCGTCGGCACTGCACAGCCCTGCAGCCTGCCCCGTGGCACGCCTGTGCCCTGATGACATCACAGGCAGGATGCAGGGGCTGGCTGCACCCGAATTATGACATCAGCAGTACTTGGGCCATCCTCATAGAAAGGGCATCTGGGTAGGGAAACCATGAAACAGCAAGCACAGGGGCAGGAGAGCAGACGGCAGTCGTCAGCCCCCAGGTAGGACACGAGGGGACGTTCTCAGCAGCTGCTGAGTGAGGCTCGGCCCAGGTCCTGGTTGCCGGGTCTATGGGTCCTTTTCCTTCTTGCCACAGGACAGCAAACTCTCTGACTCCCGCTGCCATGCAGAAAGTCTCACGTAAGTTCAAATTTCTGACCTCTTCTCCCAAGGGCCAAGGAAGTGGTCTCTTCCCCACGCCATCTTGTCCTTCCTTCTGTCCTTTCACCGGGGCTGAGACCAGGCAATGTGATTCTCATGTCCACCCACGTGCAGGCTGGCTAATGGCACAGCTCTGGCACCCCATGGTCAGACAGCCGCTTCTGAGAGACAAAGGATGTGTAAAAAGGAGCATGCCCATGGTGTCCCTGCTGTGCACGACCATGTCGCTGGTGTAAAGGGCCACTGCCCCCACCCCCGCTATGCCTGGGTTTTCTCTGTCTTCTCAGGACCAGTTCAGGACCAAGCTTCCCCACAGCTCTCTTCCCAGTCCTCCAGAGTGTCTCAAATCCAGCTCCTGGCGAGCAACAACAGCAGTCAACGCATGCTGGAGGACCAAGTCCTCTGTCCCATTTGCCTGGAGGTTTTCCGAAATCCCGTCACCACCGCCTGTGGCCATAACTTCTGCATGCTTTGCCTCCAGAGTTTCTGGGACCACCTGGCTGCCATCGGGGAGACGTACTATTGCCCCCAGTGCAGAGAGACCTTTCCCACCAGGCCCCGCCTCTGCAAGAATGCCATCCTTGGGGAGATGGTGGCTTGCTTCACCCAGGCCAAGAGCCAGACCTCGGGGCCCCTGAGGAACCTGGCCGGCCCCACAGATGTGCCCTGCGACTTCTGCTCCCCGCAGAAGCTGAAGTCAGTTAAGTCGTGCCTGCAATGCATGGCTTCCTTGTGCGAGAAGCACCTACGCAGCCACTTTGAGGATCAGCTGTTCCAGGACCACCAGCTGCTGGAGCCTGTGTGGGACCTCAAGAACCGCCTGTGCCGCAAACACCGCAAGCTCCGGCAGCTGTACTGCCGCACCGAGGGCAGCTGCGTGTGCGGAACCTGCCTGCTGGAGGACCACAAGAACCATGACACCACCCCGCTGGAGGATGAACGGGCCCGCAAGGAGGTGAGTGAGGATGGGTGAGGAAGGGGTTAGCTCCAGGTTCTCCGCATCTGTCACATTTCCCCGGAGGAAAGTAACACAGATCGGGCCAGGCTTTATGGCACCAGATACTTGAGATTCGAAGGCAGGAGTTTGAGAGCCCAGGAAACGTAAGCGACATCAGAACCCAAAGACAATTAGGCAGGGCCTGTGAATGGGCTCAGAGGGTAAAGATGCTTTCTACCCTGGTGATCTAAGTTCCATCCTCAGGACCTATATTTAAGTGGAAGGAGAGCTGGTCATGACTATGCAAGCCTTTAATCCCACCATTTGGGAAGTAGAGGTAGTGGTTCTCTGTAAATTCAAGGGCAGCCTATTCTGCATAGTTTCAGGACAGCCAGAACTATACAGTGAAACTCGGTCTCAAAAAAAAAAAAAAAAAAAAAAGGTAATCTGTTGGCCGTGGCGCACAACTTTAATCCCAGCACTCGGGAGGCAGAGGCAGACGGATCTCAGAGTCTGAAGCCAGCATGGTCTACAGAGCAAGTTCCAGGAAAGCCAGGGATACGCAAAGAAACCCTGTTCTAAAAAAGAAAGAAAGAAAGAAGGAAGGAAGGAAGGAAGGAAGGAAGGAAGGAAGGAAGGAAGGAA